TTACATGTTACAGTGTAGGTGTAGAGTAGGCGCTGGTTAGGTGGCAGCCTTGGAGAAGGCATCTCTGCATGCATGTAACACGATTGGACATTAAGGGAGGCGCCATTAGACTTGGCGAAAGAGTACAAAAATGAAAGGTGTCGCCATCCCCATTGGTGAATAAGAGGTGGTGTGGATTGCAGAGTAGGCGCAGGCTAGGTGACAGCCTTGGAGAAGCCATGCCTGAATGCATGTAACACTATTGGAGGTGATGGGAGGAGACTTACATGTTACAGTGTAGGTGCAGAGTAGGCGCGGGCTAGGACGCAGCCTTGGAGAAGGCATCTCTGCATGCATGTAACACGATTGGACATCAAGGGAGGCGCCATTGAACTTGGCGAAAGAGTACAAAAATGAAAGGTGTCGCCATCCCCATTGGAGAATAAGAGGTGGCACGGATTGTAGAGTAGGCGCAGGCTAGGTGACAGCCTTGGAGAAGCCATGCCTGAATGCATGTAACATTATTGGAGGTGATGAGAGGAGACTTACATGTTACATTGTAGGTACAGAGTAGGCGCAGGCTAGGTGGCAGCCTTGGAGAAGGCATCTATGCATGCATGTAACACGATTGGACATTAAGGGAGGCTCCATTGGACTTGGCGAAAGAGTACAAAAATGAAAGGTGTCGCCATCCCCATTGGCGAATAAGAGGTGGCACGGTTTGCAGAGTAGGTGCAAGCTAGGTGACAGCCTTGGAGAAGCCATGCCTGAATGAATGTAACACTATTGGAGGTGATGGGAGGAGACTTACATGTTACAGTGTAGGAGCAGAGTAGGTGCAGGCTAGGTGGAAGCCTTGGAGGTTACAGCCTTACTTAATTCAAATTCAGTATGACCTATTTAGTCTTACATTTATCAAAACACTGATTCACTTAATCTGTCAAACCTTCCAACCTTCAAACCTTCATACAATCAAACCGTCAAACCTTCGAACAATCAAACATACAAACCTTCAAATAACTCATAAAGGTACAAGATCAAGTGTGTCCACCCTGATTGTATGTTCAAGCTCACTGCATCATACAAATTAAGAGGTGATTGTTGGGTCATAGGTTCTATGTCTACCCACACTTGTGTCAGTTCTATCCAATCACAGGACCATCGAAAACTTAATTACGATCTCATTTGTCAAGAAATCCTACCACCCGTCAGCAACGACCCATCTTTGAAGGTGAAAACCATCATCTCCCACATCACTATAGTTTTTAACTATACTTCGTCTTACCATAAGGCGTGGTTAGCAAAGACCAAGGCGATTGAAAAGTTGTACGGAAACTGGGAGGAGTCATACCAAGAACTTCCTCGCTACCTGAATGCACTCAAGACTTATTCTCCGGGTACTGTTTACATTCTGGAAACAGTGCCAGCATACGCTCAAGATGGTAGTCAACTAAACAGAAATGGAATATTCAGTCGAGTGTTTTGGGCATTTCAACCTTGCATCACAGGATTTGCATCATGCAAACCAATTATACAAATTGATGGGACTTGGTTGTATGGGATATACAAAGGCACGCTACTGATGGCAGTTGCACAAGATGGCAACAATAACATTTTCCCAATTGCCTTTGCCCTAGTCGAGGGGGAGACTGGTGGTGCTTGGAGCTTTTTCTGAAAAACCTGCGAACACACGTGGCTACTCAACCAGGTCTCTGTTTGATCTTGGACAGACATGCCTTCATTGAAAGTGCCTACAATAATCCTGCAAACGGTTGACATGACCCTCCTTCTACGCATGTCTATTGCGTTAGACATATCATCAAAAATTTCACGAGGGAAATCAAGGACAAAACACTAAGGAAAGCGGTTATGAATGCGGGATATGCATTGACACAATCCACGTTCAAATATTATCGCAACGAGATCCGTTTGTCAAATCCGGAAGCCGGTAGGTGGATCAACAATATTCCGGTGGAAAATGGACTAGGTCATACAACAATGGCCAAAGACGGGGGCACATGACAACAAATCTAATTGAATCGATGAATGGGGTATTCAAAGGCATACGAAACCTCCTGATCACTGCTTTGGTAAAATCTACGTATTTTAGGATGGCTTCGTTGTTTGCCAAAAGAGGTGAAATATGGAATGCGGTGTTGCAATCTGGATAACTATGAAGTGAAAGCTGCATGAAGTACATTAAGGTAGAAAGTGCCAAAGCCAACACTCATATGGTTATACGGTTTGACCGACACAGCCACAACTTCATGGTGAAAGAGACAATCGACCACAACGGAGGCCTGCCAAGACAAGAATATAGGGTTGTACTACCTTCTCGTTGGTGCGATTGTGGCAAGTTTCAAGCCTTTCGTATGCCTTGCTCTCATGTCATTTCCGCTTGTGCTTATACCCATCAAGACGCGCTACAACTTTTGTCACACATTTACAAATCTGAAACGTTGCTCAACGTTTAGAACAACGACTTTCCTTTGGTAGCAAAACCAGATTATTGGCCTGCATACGACGGCGAAATAGTGTGGCACAATGACCAAATGCGAAGGAACAAGAAGGTCGTCCCAAAAGTAAGCGCATCACAACCGAAATGGACGACCTTGACAAGATGGAAAGAAAGTATGGTTTATGTCGTCAGGTCGGACACAATCACAAAAATTGTCTGAATCGGGCGTCTGCCTCGACCACATAAAAATTGTAATACATAAAATCTTTCCTTAATTATGTTGTAAACATTAGGATTTTTCATTAACAGTATTTGCTACAATAAATATTGCGCGTACAAGAAAAAAAACACGATATTCCGTCTACGAAATTACAACTGTAAAAACAATTTCATCTGACTCATGCATCATCAACATTACGTCGCTGTCTGTTTTGACTTCCTCCAACCATACATTAGGTCTTCCAGTTGCATGTGAGGTTGTTGTTCGTCTTCGCTGGATCCTTCGAATTTTCCCCCCCTCCACAATGTCTCCATCTAGCCATCGCATCAACTCCCGCTTCAGACGCTCCATAGAGTGAATGTGCCAGAATTTCATTTTCATCGCAGGTTTCGTGGCGGAGAAGATAACGTAACCATCTCTGGTAAAAATCATGGGCGATGTCATGACGCAAATAATTGAGTAAAAAATAAGAAAATAGTGCGAGAAAGTGTGAGAAATGATGGAGAAACGGACGAATTATAAAAATAGCATTTTACCCTAGGAGCCAAGTGAGATGGCGCATCCTCTCACTTTTAAAGTGTATGCGCCATCTCACTTGGCTAAAAGAGAGAGGAGGCGTCAAGTGAGATGGCGCCTAGGACAAAAATGTTGGTGGAAGCGCCAATTGAGATGACTCATCCTTTGGGGAGTCATCTGAAACATGATTATTTACGTAATTTTTTCTGAAACGTGATTATTTACGATTTTTTTTAATACCTGATTATTAAAAAAAAAAAAATTCTCATTCCCATGTTTCTATTTATTTCCCAATTTGTGATCATTGTTTAACACGTGCATGCTTTGCTTTTGTAATATTCGATTGCATATTATTAATTCGAGGATTAGGTGGTGAAGTCGCTTTTAAAGCTCACCATTCCTAGCTTCTGCAATGTAATCACCCATCACTCCTTCCATTTAAGATTTTTAAGCATAAATTAAAAAATATCATAATATTGTCCTTCACACTTTTACTAAAGTAATTCTATTAAAAATAATCTGATTAATGTATTAAAAGTAGTAAGTAATCTTATTAATATACTACAAGTAGTGTATATAATAATGTGAGAGAAAATTTTATATATATCAAAAGATTCATAACTATTTTATATATTAATACATCATAATTATTTATAATAATATTTTATGTATTTTAATTAAATATTTATAAATATTTAATGATTATAGTTATATGATACTATAAAATTTCTTTACAAACTTTCAATACATTTTAATTAAATTTTAATAGTAATAATTAAAAGATATGATAATAAAAAATAATAGTTATTTCTACAGTAAATCGTTGGAATTACATCCATTTTCAAACGATATTTTAAAAGCTTTTGGTTATATCTTGTTTTAGAAATTCAAAGATTCAATAATAGTTCTGTTAATAAAAAAAATAGAAATGTTAATTTGATATATCAAATAATAGAAATTTTTGCTAATTCGATATTTTATTTTTTATATATATTTTATGATTTTTGTAATAATTCTTTCTCTCTCCTTTAACGACACTACGGCATTTTTTAGGCATTTGGTCATGTTAAAGTTTTGATGTTCAAATATTGTTTTTCTTAAAAAAGATATACATTCAAAAGATAACTATTTCGCTCACATATGCCCTAGACATGTTTTTTCCTCCACTCTATAATAGGTGATCTATTTAAAAATAAAATAATGTTTTAAAATAAATAATTTATTTTAATTTTTAATTATTTGTTTTAATTCTATCTTCTAATTAATTAAATTTTCATCATTTTTTTAATATATAATTAGAAATATTATAGTAAAAATATTATTCTCTCTTTTATTTTTTTACATTTTTTTTAATATACATTTTTTTTAATACATAAGAAATAATAAGTTGAGTCATTTATTATGGACGGAGAGAGTAGCTTTTTCCTTATTAATTTTTTAAACAAATATATGTTCATTTGCCAAACAATAACTGATCTATCTACCTAATAAATTTGTCCCAAATAATTGATGCTTTTAAGTTTTAGGATTTTATTGATGATTTGATTTTCAGGTAATATTGTGATTTGTATTAAAAAATTAAAAGAAAATAAGATTTATCGATAAACAAGGAAATAAAACCCAATTAAAATTTTCTAATATATATAGAGTGATAGTACAACACAAGCAGTAAGAGAATCCAGTTCAGTCTAGTGCAACAAGAGGATAGGACCACATATAACATGAGCCTAAAACACTCACTCATTACACGTTATTCTTAATAATAGCATTAAATGGCACTCTCATATACTGAGAAGTTTCCATAACCTTGAAACCGCAGCATCTTCTTCAAAAGTTAATGCTGTAAAAAAAAAAAAAAACTAGTGAGTAGTTAAATTCATATTTTCACAGGCTTCAAAATAAAGCAAGAGAAAAATAAGAGTGAGATGAAAGTTAAAGAAACACATACGTGTTACAGTTGGTGGAGGTACTGATCTTATAAGGAATGTTGACACCACATTTGCCAGGGAGAGCAGCAGCATTGTTAGCATTCAAATTAGAAATAGCACCAGCGGTTGATTTCAAGCAGTTACAGGCAGCACGACGATCGGGAACGGTGGGGGCGGCAGCAAGAAGCTTCTTCACTCCTGCACAGCATGGTGGTGAAGGACCAGGACCACCTGTAAGATAAGCAAGGCACGGAGCAAGATCAGCAGTTACAGCTCCACATTGGAATGCAGCTTCTGCCATAGGTGCAACTAACATGCACATAGCCAAAACAACACATGCTACCTTCATGCTTCTTGCCATTTCTTTTCTTTCTTTTGAATTTTTTTTTCTTGGTTTGTTTGATTGGTGTGTGTAATGTCTTTGTGGGTGGGGGTTTATATAGAAAATAAGATGAGGTGTGAAGATGGGTAGAGTGGTGAGATGGGGTGGTAGTTGGGTTGAATTAATGATGTATGGTGTATGATCAATAAATGTCGCCAACACTTGTCTCACTATCATACATTTTTTATTTAATGATTTGGTACAGAGTTAGATATGATGATAATGTTTGTGGGACCCGTGTAGGAATTCTCCACCCTACTCTTTATTTCCTTTTCTTAAAAAAGCCAATAAATATTGATAAGGCAATGGCATAACACGTGCCAACATTTTATAAATCTCATGCGATAGATATTTGAGAATTTCTATTAATACTTAATATACTTTTTTAGATTTGTGATAAAAATTTTTTTTTAAATATTTTCAAAATTCAAATGTATCAAATTTCAATTTTATAAAGGTGTTTTTAGATATCTATATTCTGAAAAAATTTAATATTCTATTTTTAGAAGATTTTTAGATATGTATATTTGAAATAATTTAATTTTAATTTTAATTTTTTAAATGTGTTTTCGAATATGAATATCCGAAATAATTCAATATTTCGTCTTTGAGAATTTTTAAATATATATATCTGAAATATTTCAATAATTATAATTAAAGTGTATCAATTCCATCAATTAGAATAAAGTATATCAATTATATTAATTGTATTTCTTTATTAATTATTTAGATTAATTTTATATATTTTTAGTGTGTTAGAAATAGAAAAATATTATTTATTTATATAAAAATATTTATTTAATATAATAAATTTTTTAATTAAACATAATAATTAATTATAAATTTTATAATAAAAATCAAAAAATGTCATTTGAATTCAATTTAACTTTTAAAGTTATAATTAAAAAATATTTCTTATATTTTTTATCAAAAATTATTCAATTATTCATAATTTTAAATGAAAAATTGACAGACAATTACATTTCATCATTATAAATAAAATTTAATTACTATGTTTATTATTTAATTTCATATAATAAATTTACTTTAATATTTAATTTATAATTATAAATTTAAGTTATTCTTTTATTAATAATAATTCAATTTAATTATATTATAAATAAATATTTTTTCAAAATAAAATTAAAATAAAATCAAAATGAAATTAAAAAAAAAATCAAAAGAAATTTGGGATATTGGATTATTTCGGATATGCATATCCGAGATCTCCTTGAAAATAAATAAAAAATGGATTCCTTCGGGATATGCATATCTGAAATAACTCAATATCCCAAATTTTATAAGTTGCGTTCGAAAGTGCATTTCTGAATGATATTTTTGAGTTTTCAATGGTGAAAATTACCGCTACTAGGTGTAAAGAGAAATTGTCTAGATATTACTATGTCCAATTCGTATTAGAATATATGTGATAAAAGATAAACACCCCTACACATTCCCTATATTAGGAGTGAAAAAGGGACATGCTTGTTCCTATTTAGATTTATTCCATAAAATCATAAAATCTGTAAAAAAAAAATAGTGGAGCGGAGAAGATTTTGTTAAGGATACGGACTTAAAATTTTCCTCGTCCCACAGAAAAATGAGTGTGGAACGAGGTCGTCGATATTATATCTTTTAAATTTAAAAATTGTATATTTTCATGTTAATGTTCATGGTCGTAAAAGTCCGCGAAAAATGAGAGGAGCGGGGCGAGCATATTAGAGTGTACAAGTCTAAAATTTTGCTCCATCCTACAAAAAAGTGTGAGCAAACCATACTTGCCTGACGGGTCGGGCCCGTTTGTTCACCCTATTCTATACCCCTTACATGACAGAACAACAAACAATGTAATTTCACAAGAAAATCAAATAGTTTTGAACCTCTCTCCTCTTACCCATTCAATGTCCAATAGATCACAGAATTGAAAAAAAAGTTTTTCATAACTGAATTATAAATAGTCGTAGATGATCAAAAAAATAACAAGTGTACTATTTTTCCTATGCAGTAATAATGGAGAAATTCCCCGAATGTTGATCTCAAGTATTGCGTATAAATATCGAGTTTGATTTATTGTTCAATTAAACAAAAACTATTGTTTGGTTTGGATTTGTGAATTAACGAAATAATTGTGAATAAAGTAAATAAATTTTCAAGGCGGTTTTGACAATTATGAGTAACATGCTAGGGAATGTGTGATTTATTCTTGTAACAACTCTGAATTAACACTACAATAACATATTTTAAACAATCAATTACCAGTTCTTAAGGGTGTTTACTCCTAAGTCCTTAGTGAGAAAACCATTAATCATTCATCCTAAGCAGTATGTCCATATAAACTTACCAATCAAATTAAGCATAATTAAATCAAGAATAATCCGGTTACTATAGGGTATCCATAGTCTTAGGTGATATCTACTATAGCATATTCTCATGAAAGCATTGCCAATGGTGGTCCAACCTAATTGATAATCATACAACAATCTCAATTTGTCCGAATGAGAAAGCATTAAGAACATCAAGAGAATAAATTAATACTGAAGAATAACATTTTTATTACAAATATAAAATCAAGGTCATTACAGATTCAATCCGGGACACCCTCTAGCATTGGAGCGTTTAGTTATTCATAGTATTAAAAGAAAACAAAATATAAAATTAAGACATTACAAGTATTTGGATGCATTTGAATCTCCAATCCTTTCCATTCGTGTAGATTTTTATCCACCAAAACTCTTGAATCCTCTAATCTTCTCTTAGGTCTTATCTTCTCCTATTGTCAAAAGTCCCCTAATTCCTCTTCAAAACTCATGTAAATAGCAAACAGTCCTTAGATCGTTTGGAAATACCCAAATCACCCTTTCAGATCAAAACTTGAGCAAAATAAGAGAAAATACTGAAGTCAGCATCACAAGTTGACACTGGTCGTGTCATGAAACACGGGCGCCCGTGTTGCACCTCTGATATTTTGGAAATTCATGCTGTCAGGCTGACATGACCAATGTTAGCTGACACAGGCGATCTTGTCAGACCTTCTATATTATGCAGGAAACTTTTCTGAATTCTTGCGATTTTTCCTGGTTTTTGCTCTGATTCTTCTTGAATGCTTACTCGAACCTAAAAACATTAAAGAGACACAATCTATACATAAAATGCGGAAAACGGGAAATAAAGCGCTTAAAAACAATGCCACAATTAACTAGAATTAAAGGTAAATAAAGGTGTAAAAACCACTGAGTAGTAGACACATTCAGTTTCTAAATAATTACGCTCTAAATCTCTACCTATTTTTGGACATTCAAATAAAATAGGTGAAACAACTCCTTTTTTCAACTAAACGAGCACACATTTTGAGATTCGTACAAGATAGTTTTTAGTTGGAATTTTGTTTTGAAATTTTTTTAAATAAATTTCTATACTTTAAGCAGAATTAGTCCACTCTAAACATCTGCAAAATTCCTCATTCCTTCTTTTGTGTTATCCTTTAAAATTGATTAATAGGCCAAACCTCTTTTGTCGAATATGCATTTTTGCCCCACATCCACTTATCTTCTGATTCTTCATTCATGACAATACTTTACGTTTTTATTTAATTTCTTCTTCAAGCTTTCTTTCATATTCATTCAGGTTTCTTTTCCACTTTGTGTTCCAAGTCCCCTCTTCTCCTCCACTCACTACTTTATTAAATAAATTTTCTTTGTTCTCAACCAAATCAGTCAGTCTAGCATACCTGTTCTTCAAGATTTATCCCCCTGGCCAATGATCGATACTGAAATGTGTGCAAGCTTTGTTACCTAAATAAAGAAAGGAAATATACAAATAAGGCATATAATACATATTTTAGAAGGATTATTTGACAACCAATAGAAAAATATTGCTTATTCTATTTGGACAGTCTCCTTGACATTGCATCAACCACTTGTTTTTGGAACTCTTTTTTTCTATGTTTACTACCAAATAGGAAAATCCTAAAGGTACAGCAAACAAAAGAAAGGGAGACTTGAATTTGGTTTCTAGTTTTGAAAGTTTTTCTACTCAACACAATCAAAGATGAAACAAGAAAAAAATAAATGAACACAATTATTTTTTATCCTAGTTCACTATTAACAAAGTTAATCCAGTTCACTCACCAAGGTGATTTCTCATTCTCCACAAGGACTTAATCCACTATAACCAAACTTAATTACAACAACAAAAACTATTCGTCAATGTCTTGAGAAGTTCTAATTATAACCTAGTCTCTCAAGGAACATCAAGTAAAAACTTGAGATACAAAAGGTGTGTTTACAAAGATGCTTCTAAGAAAGAAGATTATTGCTTTACAACTCTTTACACAAAGATAAAATATTTACGTTTGAGATTTCATGTGAAAAATTTTTAGGGCAAAAGTTTTTTCCATTCTTCCAAGGGCTTCTTATATAGGCATATAAAATCCATTAGAGGGTAGAATGAGAATTCCAAATTCCAGATGTATTCTTTATAACTGTTAGTGAGAGTGAAAGACAACATCATACCATAGTACAATCCTCGCGCCACAAAATCAGAGTAGTGGGAGGAATATTTTATCTTATACCATATACTATTTTCTCACGTATAACCTTTTTGATGTTATCTTATAATATTCAGAGGATTCAGAATATGTGTTGATGAAGCAAGCTTAGAAGGATCAAAACCAGAAAGAGAGTCTTCAGAACCTTTTCTTTATAGTTTTCAGAACTTGTTCTCTAGAACCATGTCTTCAGAACTTGATCTTCAGAACCTCAAAACTTGATGAGGCATAATCATCAAAGCTTGAGAAGTCTTCAAAAGTTCTTCTACCAGAATCTCAGTCAGAACCTTTTAAACTAACGTTCTTCAAAACTGTTGTTTAGAAGCATTTGAGAACTTGATAATTTCTTTGTAACGTGTATCCCATATTTCTCTAGAGAAAGAGTGTGTTAACTCCAGAAACTGATGATGTTACGCGCCATTCTTTCAGAGTC